AAATTGGTTTTCTCCTTTGATCTCCTTTGCTATGTCCTGCGGTGCAGGAAATTGAAGGGAGAAGACCCTAAAATACAAAGAAAAATTGAACACACTAATGGTGCTAATTATTTGTCCTAGTTGGTCAACAGAATTGCTGCTTTTGATAAATGTCCAGGCCTGTGTAAATTTGTGGGAAAAAAGAAATGTCCACACCCACTGGAAGTCCTCAAGTCATCACAAATTCTGAGAGTAGGATTAAGTCCTTTCTTTTTTTTTTAATGTTTAAATTTCTTTTTTATCAAGTCCTTTCTAACTTACTCTTCAGTACCTGTGATGTTTCCACCAGTGGAAGAACTAAAATAAGCCGAAATGGTGAAGTATAGTTCTAATGGATTTGCTTTCTCCAAGAAGGAGTAATCAATCTGGGGCGTATTGCATGAGTCACTCACTTGGGTTTCTAAAATAATATTCTACAGGTGATTCAGAAGAAAAATGAGCCTGATTCCATGTTCCATGGCATGAGACCATGGAAGGGAGGGTCACCCCAGCATGGCAAAGCTATGAAAAACAATTCAAATTGGCCTGTTGCAAATTTTTTTTAGTAAGGAATTCGTGGAGTGAGTCCCTAAAGAAGCCTGTGTGACTACACAAACAAGCGTTCTTGCAGATTTTTAGAGTGCTAAGCAATGGAGACAAAAACGACATACAACCAAGAACTTTCCACCAGCAAGAATCTTACTGGGAGCCAAAATCTAAATCATGTTATGCAAAATATATAAAGGTCATTTTTTCTATATTTATATCTAGAGTAAGGAATAGTTGTTTTTATGACTTAGGATAAATCCTGCTGAGGGTTGGTCAAGAGGAACCTGAATTTCATCCTGTTGGTTTGTGGGAGGATATTTGAAAGCAAGGGAAGAGCTAACTGCTGTACATAGATTAAAGTCTCCTAGTGTAGATGATGCACGTTCTAGTCGGCTCATGCAACTTTCAAATGGGATGAATAAACCATTGCAGTGATCTTGGAGAAATCTGGAAGAAGAGGAGAGATGTAACAAGATTAGAGATAAGCAAAGAACAAGAATCTCTGTACAAAGAAGGAGCCACCAAAAATATAGATGATGATAACTTGAAGTCAAGGCTGGGTCAGATCTTCAAGGGAGAGCTGACTTTCTGGGAGAGGCAACAGCAGTCTCCTCCGCCAGGCAGCACGGGAGTTTGGAGAGATGAGGCTGGGTCATTCTCTTTCTTGCATGGGGTTCCTCACTGATCAGAGGAATATGGCAGGCATATGTATTTTGACTTCAGCAAACACTTAACTACCCCATTGGGGATGGTGTGGGAACATGGGGTCATATATAGGTATAGGGACAAACTGAATGACTGCAAATTTGGCCATCGATTCCTTAATAATTAATAGTTATCAAATCCAGGAATATGCATGACTTGGATCTCGAAGTCATCATCAGTTCAATATTTTCATCAATCAAGAGTTAGAAATATATGGAATAAAAAGTATAAAGGAAAAAATAGGAGGTTGGGGATGTAGCTTAATGGTAGAGCACTTGCCTAGCGTGCATAATGCCCTGGCTTATATCCCCAGCACCACAAAAAATAAAATCAAAATTTAAAAACATGTGAAAGCTATGACAAAAACTGGGTAGATTGAATGAAACATGTAGAGCAGGAAGGTACCAACTCCCCCATTGCACACCCTCCATATCCAATGCTATATTCTCTCTTAAAATAACAAATCAAGCCCAGCCCAGTGATGCATGCCTGTAATTCCAGTGATTTGGGAGACTGAGCAGGAGGATCACAAATTTGAGGCCAGCCTGAATAACTTAATAATGCTATCTCAGAAAAATGGTATCTCAGTTTTTTTCTTTACCTTTCCATTACTTGCAAGAGAGCATTTAACCAAAGATTTATTGATGTTGTGATCATGTTTTATGTATGGTTTACTTTTTCCTATAATTTGCTTATTTTACTATTGGGGTATTTGTGTTTTCCTTATTAGTTTGTAATACTCTTTATGTATTAACCTCTTGACTATAATCCCAGATATTTTTCCCAGTTTGCCATTTATCTTTTAATTTTGCTTATGGTAAGTTTTGGTAAATGAAGTGCATACCTTTTAATGTGGTTAAATCTCTCCCTCTCTTTAAGGCTCATGCATTAATAGGTATACTTTGAAAATTCTTTCACAGTTTAATATTATATAAATATTTGCCAACATTTTCTACTCAGATTTCAATTCAGGTTTTTAATCCTTTTGGATCTTATTTTGGTATAAGGTATAAGTTCTAATGATCAAAATTTCTTTATTCTAAATGGTTAATAAACATTCTCCACACTAATTATGAATAATTTATCATTTCTCATTGATTTGCAATGTAACAAAACAATAGTTACAACGATAATTAATAATATAACTTTGATTTTTGCTTTCTCTGTGCCAGGTACTATTCTAACATGTATTAACTCATTTATTTCTCATAATAATCTTATAATGTGGATATTTTGTTGTCATTTCTCTGTCATTATATCATTCCTCAGTATGGAAATTCAGACACAGAATGGCTGAGTAACTTGCCCAAAGTCACACTGTGAGGTACGATATTCAGAAAAAATTTGGACAATCTGACTTCAGTATTCCATCTTTGCAATGATTTGATATAGTTGACTTTGTTTCTAGGTTTTCTTTTTTGTCCCAGTGTATTCATTTCTATGCTGGTTGTATTAGTCAGCTTTTTGTTGCTATGACAAAATACTGGAAGAAATGAACTTCAAGGAGGAAAGACTTATTTTGTCTCACAGTTTCAGTGGTTTCAGTCCATGGCTAAATACCTCCTTTGTTTCTGGGCCTGTGGTGAGGCAGAACATCATAGCAGGGAGGATATGATGGAGTATAGCTGCACACTTCATGGTGGCCAGAAAGGGGGGATACACATACATACACACACACACACACACACATATACACACACACATATACACACACACATATACACACACATAACACACATATTCATACATACATATGTGTATGATATATATGTGTGTGTATATATATACATACATATATGTGTGTGTATATATATATATATATATATATATATATATATAGAGAGAGAGAGAGAGAGAGAGAGAGAGAGAAAGAGAGAGAGAGAGAGAGAAGGAGGGGGCCAGAGATAAGATATACCCTTCAAAGGCACGACCCCAGTGACCTACTTCCTCTAGCTGGGACCTACCTCCTAATAGCCCATTCAGTTATGAACTAATCAGTGGCTTAATTCATTGATGAGGTCAGTACCCTCATGATCCAATCAGTTTCTAAAAGTCCCACCTCTGAACATTGCTGCTCTGGGGACAACCCTTAACACACGAATCTTCAGGGGATATTCTGGATCTAAACTCTACACCGTTTTTTTGTTTGTTTGTTTTTGGTACGGGGACTGAACCCAGTGGTGCTTAACCACTGAGCAACATCACCAGCCCTTTGTATTTTTTTAGATACAGGTTCTCTCTGGTTGCTTAGGGCCTTGCTAAGTTGCTGAGGCTGGTTTTGAACTCATCATCTTCCTGCCTCAGGCCCTTGAGCAGCTGGGATTACAGGAGTGTGCTGCTACACCCAGTCCTAACCCCACTGCATATTGCACTTGGACTCTTTTTTTGGGGGGTAGTGGGGATTGAACCTAGGGATGCTATTCCACTGAACTACATCCTCAGTTCTTTTTATTTTGAGACAGGATGTTACCAGGTTGCTTAGGGCTTCACTAAGTTGCTGAGGCTGGCCTCAAGTTTGTAATCCTCCTGTCTCAGCCTTCTCAGTTGCTGGGATTATAGGCATACACCATGGTGCCTGTCTGTACTGCCTTCATATCTGCTAATTCCAGTCATTTTCCTAATTTCTAATTTAATCACTGTTCTTCCTTCCTTTTTACAATCTAGCTTCTAAAAGTGGCAAGGTCTTTTTCTTCTGAATACTAAAAGCAACCAGACAGTGTAGTCCATGTTTTTCTAGAAAATCTCTGACAATACTTTTTGAGGCAGTTGGTTTTGTAAGACTCTTTAGCAAGAGGTGAGTTCCATGCTTGCTCTTGCTGGTGCAGGTACCTTACAGAGTTTATAGTAGAATCAAACTGTTCTTAACCCAGCTGTAGAGATAAGAATTGTGTTTAAGCACTCCATGCCTTATCTGTAAAAAGGGAATAATAGTAGTATCCAGTGTAAAATGAGGTTAGAAGACTGTCTACATGAGTTAACATTTGTGAGATGCTTAGAACAGTGTCTGGCACATAGTAGGTACTAAATAAATGTTTGAAAATTCAACCAGAGTTTTCACTGTGGTCTGGGACATGAAGCTCTGATTCAGTCACTTGGCCCAAATGTGCAACTCAAATGTGGGTGTTTTAAAGTTTGAAACCAGTAATCTCCTTGGAGTTGGCATGTAATGCTCCCCAAATAGAATGAATGTCTTTAAAAATGCTTTTATATCAATTTTTCTTATTTTATCCACACAGCAACTTTCTGAGCAGAGTGGAGTGGTATTATACTTGTTGAGGTATAGGGAAAATGACGTGTTAAATATCTTCTATTTAACACAAGATATTTTTCTGCTCTCTTTGACCACTGGAGCTAACATTTTTGGTCCAAAAATTCAGATGATGTCAGAATGACTTCTTCCCCCATACAAAGGATAACTGTGCATAAAAATTTATCCAGTGTAATTCTCCTGAGAGATGTCTAATACAAGTGTAGAATTTATATGCTCACTAGATCAGCCTTTTTCTCCCTTGTCACTTTAATATGGTTTATTTTACGCTTGATTTTCAGAAATGCCCTGGAATTGTGGTTTCCCAAAGCCCCACGTCTGCAGGACCATTTCAGGGGCCACAGAAGCCATGGTGGGGCATTCTTGGGATTCTTCCTTAAAGGGGGCCCGACTCTGGGTTGTGCCCCTCCTGGGAGGGCTGTGATGTGCTGCGGGCTCAGTGTGTGGTTTCATCCCACAGATTCGTCACTCACACTGCAGCAGATGGTGGGTGTTGGACTGGGCTCCGTAGCTTTTGTGATCCTTCTCGCATTCCTCTCCTTCTCAGCAGTGTGGTATGTGGGACTGTCGTTTTTGAGAAATGAGTGGAATGGAGGGGAGGGTGAGGTGGGAGTCATGCAGAACAGCTGGGGATGAGGAGGGTCAGAGGGGATGTGGGTGGACGTTGTCCGGGGCTTAGCAGAGCACAGTCACTGGGTGAAAGGTATGACCTACCCTGGAGCTCACAGAGTGGGGTGGCCGGCCTGCCTTGCAGCTGCTTTTCCCCACCTCCCCTGAGTGTGTGTGTGTGTGTGTGTGTGTGTGTGTGTGTGTGAGTTGCATGCAGAGATGCACAGTGGGAAAACCAAAGGGTGTTCATTATTTGTCTCTTTTTTTCCTCCATATCTAGATCGCAGATGGGTGCTCCATGGAATCGATGCCCTGCTGCTGGGGCAGATGTTCTACCTGCTTCTCAGGTGTCTGCATGAAGGCCCTGTGTGGCTTCCACCCAGACGGGTGTGTGGACCTGCACCTTTCTCCATTCCTGGATTCACTGTGGTGGCTATCTCTGTGGAATCCCCCAAAGGGAGAAAACTCAGGAACTGTTGATGTCTCTCCTGCTTCAGGACCAGTTCTGTGTCTATGAACTTGAGACCCTTGATGTCCAATGCCATATTGATCACAGGCTACAGATCATGAGAGTCTGGTCTGAGTGATGCCTGTGAGTCAGTTTCTATAGACACTGGATGCAAGAGAGTCTCTGTACTCTCCTTTACAGCATTGCTTAATTAATTCAGAAGAGATATATGTATATATATTTTTACAGTATGTAACGAGATAGGGCTTACATTTGGGCTAGAATTTGACTTTACAAAGGAGGTCATAGAGAGGGATGGAGAATATTGACATGGGCATATGTTTTAAGCACTGAAGAATCAGCTCTTTTTCCAATTAATTGATATATACTAACTACAAAATATATTAGCCTCCCCAATCCAGGAAGTTTCCTGCAATATCTGACAGCATTTCTTTGATACAATTCCAGTTGTCCTGTATGTGCTCAAAAAGTAATATCTATGTTCCAGTGAAAATATTCTGTAATTTAGGTTATTTTCCCCTAGTTAAATTTTTTTTTTAAATTACAGAGCATTTCATAAACATGCCTCCCTTTAGAGTCTGGTTCTGGTGGTAGTGTAGTAAGAACAGGTTGATGCACTATCAAGCCCTTGGCCAGCAGAGTCCAGGAATGGAGGGGACAGCAGGGAATGTGCCTTATCTACAGCCTCAGTAGCCATGACAGTTACTGTGTTGTGGACCATGAAACATTACATATTAGCAGTCCTAGACCTATTGGGAGGGTGCTGAATTTACAGATGGAACATGGTAGATTTAATTTTAAAGTTTGCATCAATATTCTTTAGCTTTCTTCCTTGAGTTATCAGGTAACTCAACTCCAAGGCTCAGTAAGAAATAAGTGGAGAAGAAATAGAGGCTTGTGGATTCTCCCTCCCTTGCTATTCCTGGAGAATGAATAGCATGGATGACAGTTACATTGCACAATCACAGGGTGGACCATACAGAATTGTGTCTCTGGAATTGTGCTCCATTTTGGTCCTGAGGAAAAGGGACAGTTTTTCCAATGTAGAGGCTGGGGTGACCTCTACAGAATTGGTGGGTAAATCTGAGTGGCTTGGTGTTATGGTTTGGGTATGGTTGGTCCCCACCAAAATTCAGGTTGAAATGTGATTGCTATTTGTGGTGGTGTTGGAAGGGATGAGATCTTTAAGAGCTGATTAGATCATTAAGAGGGATTAAGACTTGCTTTCAGGATTGAGTTTTCACTCTTGTGAGACTGGATTAGTTACTATGAGAGTAGATTGTTATAAAGTGAGGCCATACCTCGTATTTTGTCTCTTCCTGCATACTCCCATTTACCCTTCCATGGGTACCACCATGCTTTAATGCTGCAGGAGGCCCTCACCTGAAACCAAGCAGATGCCGGGACCATGCTCTTGGATTTGTCAGTCTCCAGAATCATGATCCAACATAAACCTTTCTATTCTTTATAAATCACCCAGTCTCAGGTATATGGTGATAGCAAGAGAAAACAGACTAAGACACCTGGGCTTGTGAGCAGATGAGGAGACAATAGGAATAGGCAGAAATTGTCCATAAAAGCTGCTCCATAGTATGGCAGAAGAGGGAAAAGTGTTCCACTCAATTGTGAAAAGACAGAGAGTTGGAGATAATATTCTGATACTTGGATATTCAATGCCAGCTGCTAGCCCCTGGCCCCTGGCCCCTGCCAGTATTAGGCAGTATTAGGAAAAATTGATCTCTGACCTGTGAGGTACTGCCCCAGACTCCAACGTAAGATCAGTGTTTAAAACCCTTTCGCCTTCATCTAAGGTGAATTATAGAGTAGAACTCCCAAATAGCTTTCTACTTTTGATTTTTAGTGCAACCATTCAAACTTGCACTATTTTTGCTGCTTCCAATCTCAATTTGTAATCATTACAAGTTACTGTGGTTAGTGGAGGGCAGGGCCTTGATGAGAAAGGGTTTTTCTCAGAGGCCATCTCTATCAAAAGACAGAATCTGAGCCCTTACTCTCTTCCTTGCTTTGTTTATTACCAGGTCTGTAAACTTGTCTGGTAGCTTTACAATAATACTTTTTTTTTTTTTTTTTTTTTAACACGGGTTCTTAAAGGGGAGAGTGCAGGGTCCTTTGAGCAGGTAGTAGCACCTTGTGAACTGAGGCATTGAACTGGCTTGAGAGTCAGCTAGGTCCTGAGGTGTCCACCACTGTCTGAGGACAGTGGGAAGGGGTACACATGAGCCCATGAGTGTGGGGAGCCACCCGTTGCCCCTGGGCTGAGCTTGCTCCCCCTGCCTGGAATAATGGGGTTACTGGTCTAGCACCACGCGAGAGCTGTGCAGGGCAAGTGGCCACAGAGCCTGCTTCAAGCCCTACGTGGGCGTTACCTAATGGGGATGGGCAGCCCCTTGAAACCTGATTCCCTTGCCTTATTTGGGTAAAATTTTCTCGAATGTCTTTTCCCCAATAAACTGAAGGTTTCGGGTGTGCTTGCTGTCTTGCTTCTTCCAGCGCTGGAGCTGACCCTTGGGGTCACCCAGCCGAGCCATCCTGCCTTAGAAACATATTTGTGTGCTGTGTGGTTTCTTCACCGTTTTCTTAGTTACTGATACAGCCAGCTCCTTTGAACCCAGTTCCTATCGCCAGTCGGGCCAGCTGGTGATACATGAGCTCCCTTCTAGATCAGGATTCAAAACTGTAGGGTTGTCCAGGCATGGGGATGTGCCCGGGCTGATTTCTTTTGTGTCCATAGTTTCTGTTTCTATCAACTGTACAAAAGGCACTTCCTCGTGGTCTTTCATTCCATCCTTACAATGGTTCTGTGTGGTAGGAAGGTTGGGGTTGTTGGTCCCCATTTAAGAATGGAAAAATGGATTCAGACAGATCCATGACTTGAGTTGTAGGCCAGGTCTAGTTTTCTTTCTTGGCATTTGCTGGCCCTTGAGTTAGCTACTGAACTAATATTTATACAGACTTTTTGGATCTGGAGGTTGTCAGACCTTTACATTTCCAAACAATATACACCTTGGTGTTGAGGCTTTCTGCTCCTGATAGCGTAAATGGGCATCAATTTATATATTTAAACTATTTCCTTTATATATAGCATATGTGTCTTTTATAACTCTCTTTTCACTGTAAGTTACCTTCACCCATCACTTCTAGAAGGCACAACGAACAACCAAGCAGGTTAACAGTTTTTTCTGTGATCTAAGACCCGGGATTGCAGCTGAGGGCTTGAGACCAGAACAGCAATAATGATTTCAAAGTTCCACATTACTATGGAATAAAGTTACTTATTTGTTTATTTTTGAAACAGGGTCTTGCTGTGCTGCCCAGGCTGGTGTTTAACTTGTGAGCTCAAGTTGTCCTCCTGCCTCAATTTCCAGAGTACCGGGGCTAGAGCCATCATGTGCCACCATATCTAGCTCTAAAGTTAATATTTAAAATTGATTTTAAAGGAAGTAAAAAGGAATTCTCAGTGTTCCTTTATTATTGCTAATCTTACATTCTGATTTTCTAAGAAATTTTTTTCTGTCTGATTCTAAGAGAAAATCTCTGGTCAAATCAGGTTTTCAGGACCTCTCATCTATCACACTCTCCCCAGTTAAAGCTGAGGCCTGCTTCTGGAGGGAAGGATGTGACCTTTTTATTCTCAACTGTATGGGCTGATGCCACAGTGAAGCAAATCGATGACCAAAGCAGGGTGTGTTTTTGTTGCAATTAATGAATCACTTTGATGGTGGTGGTGTGTCTCTTTATCTGTACCTCTGGGCACGACTTGGTGTTACCAGGATGGAGTTAAACTGTGTGTGGTTGTCTAACATTCTGCCTTTGCTGGTCAACATTTTCTGGACCCCTTTTCACATCCATCATGACGGCATTACAAATTGGTACCATGATTTATTTAATTACACTCTATTGTACATTTGGTTTTTCCAGATGTTTACTGTCCTTATACAAGTCTGTTTACATGTGTGCAATTATCACTTAGGCTGAATTCCTAGAGGTGAAATTGTTGGGATGGAAACTTTGTGTATTTCATGTTGGGTTGCTCACTGCCGGAGAGATTGATGCCCATTCACGCTATCAGGAGCAGAAAGCCTCAACACCAAGGTGCATTGTTCTTCTTGATTAATTTGTTAGGTAAAAATGATATTTTAATTTTGAGGGGCATTTTTTTTTTCTGAAAATTTTGCATATTGATTTGCCATTTAAAATTCTTTGTGAAAATGCTTTCTTTCTTAGTACTGTACTTGGCCTGGTTATCTTTTAAGATTTGAAAAAAATTCAATATCATTGTAATTTTAATTCTCATCTGTCATATTTTGTCAACAATTGTTCTAGTTTTATTTCTGGAGAGTTTAACCCTTTTTCCCCCTAAATAACCTTGTTATGTTATGAATTGTTACAAAGAACTTTTAAAATTTATATAGTCAAAATTTTTTTCCTTATGTATTTTGCTTTTGGTGCTATGGTTAGAAGGACATTCCAGTCTCAAAGTAACAAATATAATCTAGCATTTTTTTAAACATATAAATCTTAAGTCTATCTGAAATTTATTTTATTCTATTTTATTTTTAAATTTTATTTATTTTTTTATTAGTTGCTCAAGACAATACAATGATCTTGACATATCATACATTTGATTCACATAGGGTATGAATTGTCATTTTTCCATGTGTACAGATTGCAGGATCACATTGGTTATACATCCATGTGTATACATACAGCAATCCTAGTGTCAGTTGTATTCTTCTGCCCTCCCTATCCCCCCTCCCCTCCCCTCCCCTCCCATCCCTATTGTCTACCCATTCTACTGTGACACTTATCTTTCTTTCTCTTTTTTTTCCCTTCCCTTCCCCCTCACACCATCGTATATGTATTTTGTGAACCCATGAGGGTCTCCTTCCGTCCTCAGTGCATTTCCCCTTCTCCCTCCCTTTCCTTCCCTCCTCTTTTCCTTATTTCRTGGTAATCTTCTTCTCATGCTCTTCCTTCCTACTTTGTTTTGAGTCACGTCCCTTATATCATCGAAGACATTCTGCATTTGTTTTTTAGGGATTGGCTAACTTCGCTTAGCATAATTTGCTCTAGTGCCATCCATTTCCCTGCAAATGCCATGATTTTGTTATTTTTTACTGCTGAGTAATATTCCATTGTGTATAAATGCCACAATTTCTTAATCCATTCTGAAATTTATTTTAGTATAGGTGTGAGGTTTCTGGGGTTGGGGCTGGGGTGTCTTTTTGTTGTTGTTGCTGGTAAGTGGTTTAGCCAGCTGTCCTTTTAATACGCATTGACCATTTCACCTCCCGTGCCTTGAAACCATATACAAATATCTATTTTTGAATTTCCTTGTTTGTTTTACTGACCTACTTCTGTGCCAATACTACCTGCTATAACTTTAAAATAGTTTTTTAATATTAAGTAAAAGTTACTTTTTTCTAATAATTATCAGTATTTTAAGCATGTATTACATATTTATTCATGTATACTTATTGCATATATAAGTTAAAGAATTTAGTCAAGTTTCCTCCCAAGTCTTATTTTTTGGGGGGAAGATGTGTTAAATATGAACATGATATGTGTCTCCATGTAAAGTTTTCCTTTGTGTTTCTGCCTATAATATTTCACTTTTCAATGCACAAAGTCATTCATGCATTTGTTTTGTTGGATATGTCTAGATTTATATTTTATATATATAAAACATATATTTATATAAAATATAAATAAGTAATAAAATTTGTATATAAATATATTTTATATATGAAGTATATATAAATATATTTATATATTTTTATTTATTTATTTATTTATTTATTATTATGTCTAGTTTCTGTTTTGTTTCCCTGAACTCCAGTCCCTCCCTCAGCCCCTGCTCCTGAGAGTGCATGCCACAGCCTCTTCCTGCTGCTATGAGTTGGGTCTTCTGCTCGGGCAGTCTGCTTTCTTTGGGAAAAGTCACATCAAGAGGACTCCTCCATCCAAGCGGAGGATTGCCTGGCCATCATGGGTAGCTCTAGCTGCCGACTGCCACCCATTGGACCCATTGTCCAGTTGGTGGGTAGGTCACATGCTTCTTGTTTTGCCCTGCCGCTGGGATGACAGCCTCAGCCTCTTGACCCTTGGGTTTCTTGTTCTTGGAACCAGATGCAGGCCACTTGTCCTCTGAAACCTTAGGACACAAGCTGAATTCTCAGAGTGGAGGT